GAGGGGGGGGGGGGGGGAGGGGGGGGGGGGGGGCAGGGGGCGGGAATCGGTTGAATTTGTGGGGGTTCTGCCCCACCCTGCGCAACCCCAGGGCTGATATCCAGGATTATCTTGAGAGTTTCAATCAGCTGATTCCACTGTCTGCACAACACAGTTAACCAGATCACAAAACAGTTAACCAGGATAAATCCAGGGGTTGCATTCACACAGCAGGATATGCTTGGTTAGCTTGATCCCTGTGTGTGTGTGTGTCTGTGTGTGTGCACGCACACACACACAGATTAGTGTCTTGTATCAATCCAGGCCCTTTGGTTAGTTTATGGTTCAAGAATTCTGGATATGTAGACCAGGAGCTGCTGGAGATGGCAGCTCACGCTTTTGTCATCTCTCAGTTAGACTACTGCAGTTTACTTCCCTTGGGGCTTCCCTTGAAGATGCCTCAGAAGCTGCACAGGATGCAGCTGCCCGCCTGTTGACTGGTGCCAGCTTGTTTAGCACCCATCTTGCAGGGGTTACATTGGGTGCCAGTAGGCTTCTGGGTCCAGTTCAAGGTGATGGTCACCTTATAGCCTTATATATTCTTTTCCTGTTATCTCCAAGAACATCTTCTCCAAGAAGATTCATGGTTGACCTGGCGGAGGACCTTGTGGCTGTCCATTGTGCGAGAGATCAGGAAGGCCGGGATCCAGAGAATGATGTCTCATTTTGGAACAGGTTGTCCCCTTCCTTTCCTCCTTTAAAAAGGGCCCTTCCCCACACAACGTTCAGAAGGAAAAGTTCTGACTGAGGACACCAACCCATGTTGTTTTAATGTTGCATGATGGATCAGGAGGATCCAGGGAAACAAGCTGGATGCAGGAAGATTTTGGCAGTGATGATCAGGGAAAGCTTTGTGAGATGTTGAGCAGGCCATTCCAGAGAAAAGGAGGTTGGGCCCATCTCCTCGTCCAACATTCGTCACGGGCATCATTCCTGGGCTTGGCCAACTGGACTGCTGGAGACCTTGACTTCCTGCTGAGGCTCCTTAACCCCAAGCCCTTTTGCAATCAGACCAGAGTGAGTGGACCTACAGAAGCACAGTTGGGCAAAGCTGGCACTGATGCCCTGTAGAAAATTTGCCTTCCCAGATTTTGGGTCCCACCCAAGCTGCAACTCCAAGCGCTGGAGGAGGGGTGACGATGGTCTTCTTGCACAGCTTGGCACTGACCGGGAGTCCTCCCTTTGAGGAATGGAATGTGAGGGCCTGTATGGGATGCTGGATTGGAAGGGAGGTGAGGAATCTTGCTTGGGAAACCCCCTTCTTGCTGTTTTTATTTTTTTTAAGACTGTGGCTGTCGAGTGAGAGTCGGATGAGTTCTATTTTTGCCTATCAGCTTTTTAAAATTTTAATGAGCTAGTGTCAGTTGCTGGGGTCTTATTGGAGGCCACAGTCTCCAAGAAAAATAAACAAATAAATAAAATGCAGGTTTTGGGGGCATGTATGTGTGTAGACAGGACTTTGCATAATTCCTCCATCTCTATCAGGGCTTTTGTAGTGGGGGTATTATTTTCCCACCCACCCACCTCCAAAGGTATTCTGCATCCTCTCCCACATACTCCATTGCACCAGCTGTAAACCACACTCCATTCCTCCCCAATTCCCCTTAGCAAGAATTAGGAACTAACAGAAGGTAGAGGGGGAGCCTGTAAACAGAGGTTACCCCAATATGGCTTCTCCCCCATCCCTAGAATCGGTCCAGTTGGTAGGGAGAGAGGAAGAGGAGGCAGTTTCCATGGTGACAAAGGAAGCATCTTTGCTTGGCCACCTGAGTTTCAAGGGTGGGGGGTGACCGAGGGTGCCATTGCAACGGAGGAACAGAGGGAAGTTCGTAAGGGGAAAAGATGGGACGGACAATATTGTTGGGGAGGGGAGAGAAAGGGCTATTGTTTGCAGAGCAGAACCTTAGATAAGGCCCTTTTTAGCCCCTCTTTGATACAGATCTCTGCTAAATGCCCTGGCATGGATGGTGTAAAAGCTTGCTTTAAAAAAAAACAAAAAACTGAAATACACGGGCAACTTCTGTATGGCGTTGGTGCTCCGTGTGATTTCAGCTGTCTCTGCCAATGGAGTATCCCTGTCGGTTTAATCTCTTATTCCAGCGATGGTGATCCTGCTTTGGAATCCCTCTCATCGCCCCCGCTCCCCCGTCTCCATTTGCTCTCTGTGAATATCACAGATTCACCCGGGCAGTTGTATTGCTGGAGAACTGTCAGCTGGATGAATAAGCCCCTAAAAATAAACGGTTAGCCGTAGTTTTTTATTTTATTTATTTATTTGTTTGGGGATACGCAAGTTACAGCTGTCCTCCTGTCTGCCCTGTAGTATCTGGTTTCCACATGCAGTTCAGTAGGCAGGAACGTGTCGGTCGTGGGACGTGCGGCCTACCTCTGTGGCTCGATTCCTCCATCCATCTTCAGGGACATTCATGGGGGGTCAAAAAAGTCAAGATGGCCGCTGAAGCTCTGCACAACTCACTCCTTTTTGGTGTGCAGTGCAATGCGTGTAATGCATGCACAATACACGCAATGCATGTTTAAAAAGGATGAGACTTTGATCCCATGTCATCTTGACTTTTTTGACCTCCCTGTAGGTATCCTGGCCCATCTTCACTCCTCAAATGGCAGGCAGCTGCCATTACCTGCTTCATTTGCAGCTAGCATTCCTGTGGGTTAAATGCATCCCTCGATTCCTTTAAATCCACTGTGGTGAGTGTGCGAGCCCACGGTCTCCACAATACTATCTCAAATCTGCATTTCTTAATATTTCAGTATATGGACAGATTTGCATGATTTATGACTCCAAGAAACCACCACCCTTGTGCATATCAGAGAAATGTGTGCACAGAAAGCATTTTCTGTGGGGGGGGGGGAGAAAGAAAGGAACCGTTTGCAAAAAGTGTGCATGTCAGGAAAGATATATAGAAACATAAATATATTATAAATGTGCCAGTAAATGCATAGGAATATTTGAGCGCACTTGTTAAGGATTTAAGGAGTGAGACCAAGCAGGCTGTGGATGATCAGAGAAGTAATCCTGGTAAAAGAAAAACTGTTCCTCCCCTAAATCTGGGGTGGGGGGCTCCTGGTGACTTGAGCCCCCTCCCTCACGCATCCTGCCACTGTCTCCTCTTTGTCTCCCTGCTTTCATGCTCAGGCACACACCCCACATGCTGCAGAAGGAACCAGATGCTCAATGGGTTTATGAGGCCTTCCTAAGCTTCTAGCTCCAACAGCGGAGACGCGTTTTCTTTCAGAGCCCATTAAACCCAGCCGCCTCATTACCCACCCTCAGCTTTCTTGCCTGCTGTTGCAACAACGCTCAGAGCGAGTCCATCCGTTCCTTCCCTCGCCATCTCCTTTAGAGTCAAACGCTCCCCACGCAGATCTGGCCTTCTTGTTTATTTATTTGTTTCGGCTCCTTTTGCACTTGACCAGAGGTGGGAAAGAGGTGTACGCTTTTTCCCTTGTAGCATGCAGCTTAGCTCACTTCCTCGAGCCACCTGAAACAGCCTTGTCTTCAAAGTCTTGGCTCCTCTCTCGTTCTTGAAATATTTTTATGCAAGAGGGCAGGTGAAATGTTTGTCCGGTTGGGTCCATTTTGAAGGTCTTTGGGAACACTCTGATGAGCATTTGGGTTGCAAATTCATGATACCTTTATATCATCTTTCAGGGCAATAGTGGGTGATCATTCTACTAACCGGCTGTCCCGCTCCCCCTGGTTTTACCCTCCCAGCAAACGTAGGAGATGGACTGGGCTTCAGAAGGATAACTGGCCCTTTTTGGGGGGGAGTTTGAACCCGCATCTCACCAGTCTGTCTCATGACTGGTCTGCCTGTTCACTCA